TTTCCATTGAGGCCCTTGGCATGTAGAGTAATTTTAGAATGTTTTGGGCCAACATACTATTATTTTGATTTTGAAGGCCTTTGTTGAGATTCTCTTATATATATAACAATAACAAATATATGTGTATATATATAAATGCATAAACTTTAATGAAAATAGTTTTAGATATTTGCTGATATAATAGGACTCGATTTTGCTCCTTTTAGGTTCCATTGCACATTAGTAGGATCTAAGTTGTCTAGATTAAATTTGGACGGTCTAGGTTTAATGTTTTGTTTTCTCATTTTTATTAAAATAAAAAATATAAAAATAATAAATGTTTTTAATAAATATGGTTTGATCTAGACATTCTGGATTTAATATTAATGATCCAAATTTTTATAATGAAAATATACTTTCAAAAATCTTAGTAGATAGCTATATTGTCCATAATATACTTGGATGGTCAATTGTAAAATTTTTAATATTAGATCTAAACCATCTATACTAAATCTTCATTGTTTAGAGTATATATGCTTGGAAAATTAATTTATAAAAAATTAAATATTAAATATAAATTATTAAGGGCTTTTGCACACTGTAACCCATGTCTTAAGACCAAATAAAGGAAATAGTCTATCATTTCATAAATTTTAAAAATGAAATTTTTAATATTTAGTTGTTATATAATTTACCAAACTATCCTTTTTAAATTACAACACTTCTTTTTTTGCAAATACTAGAACAAACTGAAAATGTGAGAAATCAAGCAAACAAAATAGGCAAATGCGAGCTACAATCACGATGGAAGAAATAAGTATGTCAAACTTGAAAATGAAAGGAAGCGGATAATGTGAGCAAGCCACGGTTGCAACTACAAGAGACAAACATAAGGCGAGAGGTGTCGACAGTACTCGACAAAACGGAGCATGCTGGTAGAGAAACAGAGCTATAGAATTTTTTTACAGACTGTGTTTGATCCATTTTGAGCAAATGATTGTGTGTTTTTTGTGTTATTGATATGCGATATTATATCAACGATAAACAAGTTTATGCATGATTATCTAGTTATGTTGATCTGTGATAATATATTAATAATATGCTATTATATATCACTTATATATAAGCATATAAGTAAAAACTTACCAATACTATTTTATTTTGTAGATGTGAGGATGTTTAATTCTGTCATTTCTTATAAGAAAAATGAGATTTAAACAATCGTTATGTAGATGGTTCATACCTTAAAGTGTTTGTAAAAAATTTTTACTTCACGCATTCACTAACGATAAGGCTCATTGCTTGCATATGGTCACCATGCATAACATTAACAGCACAAGTATGGTCTTAACATACCACCTAATAACTCAAACCTAACTAAAAGAAACTACTAAGGCCTGTGCATACCATTTACAGCTATCAACAATGCAAGCAACAACAAGCCTTTAGCCATTTGATTCGAGAGTTGTGTATTCAAAATTCCTCTTCACAGTTAAGAGTTGCAAGACTTTTTGAAAATCTAATTTGTTAAAAAATGCATTTCCCTCCTTAATATCGTTTATTTGCAAAAACTCACAGGCTTTACTACAATGCTCACTATTGGTAAATGTAGAAGAACATGAAGTTAAAGAACTAGTTCCTCTATGATAAGGTTCAAACACTTATTGTGTGGACAAAAGTTCATTGAAAATATAGACAATCAACAGAAAGTTAAGGAGATTATAATTTCTCAACAAATTAAAATACTATATCAAATCATTGTTATTCTTGATCTCTAAAATGCTATATGTTGAAGTTTCAATATCAAAAGAAACCATCAATTTAACCTCGTAACTTACATTCAACCATAATTTCCTGTGCACAATTTCCATGACATCAAGATATGAAGTTGCATCTTTCACAAGCACTTCAAGGAATGAATCATCTATATAATGGTTGTTCAAATGCCATTTTTCATCATAAGAAATGACAATGTTAAGTATCCTCATATTTACAATATTAAATGGTGTTTGTAAGTTATCATTAATATATTATTGTAAATCAAAAACACAAAAACCAATATAATTATTTATCCAAAACAGATCAAACTAGGTTTGTAAAAAATTATAGACATATTAACTTATCATAGAAAATCAAATATCTAAAATAATAAAATAAAAAATCATGAATAGTGAGAGAATAATATATGTTTTTTTTTGTTAGTAATTCAAACAAATTTAATGATCAATGATAACAAATTTAGTTCTAACAGGTTATGAACAAATATTTATTGATTTAGTGGTAATATTATCTAGATAAATAAAGACGATGACAATTCAACGATAGATAATACTCTTTAACTTTCAAAAAATAAAATATAGGACAACTTCAATTTAGATTTCGAATTACACAATGCAAAATATAGAATCTGATGATGGAGTTTAGTTTTCAATGTCAAATCATAGGTTTGTAATATACTTAGGAAAGGCGGAGGGGGAGAGGAGAGAAGCATTGGCATATGAGACTTCCCTCACCTGCAGTGAAATAATGATTGTGAACGCACGATTCAATCAATTGAATATTAGTTACCGTGTGTATATGTTGTTTTAATAATATATTTATCCTAAGGATAAAAAAGAAAAATCACATCTAATTGATTTTATGAATAGATCATATTCTAAAGTATTTAAAAATATAATCCATAATTGACAGGAACTTTATTTTCTGAGGTCATTAATCTAATTTATTCAATTAATATCATTATTAATATTAAATCTAGACTCTTTACATTAGTAACCAAATCTATTGGAGCGAGGCATTGGAGGAGCGAGGCTGATATTCTGATGATGATTCGACCTTGGCAAGGCGCTAGCTTAGATAAATGCAGATGAAATTAGGTTGAGGGAAGCCTCTCTTGCCTCTCAATCGAAGTAAAGGTAAATTTAGACCGTCCATATTTAAAATTATTAATTTTGTATTTTTAAAATAAAATATATAAAAAATTTTAAAATTTTTTATTAAATATTTTTATCAATCTAACAATACAAATTTAATATGAATAATCTAAATTTAATATTAAAAATTTAAATTAATTTTTTAGATATATTATAGACAGCACAGATACATTCTAAAGAAAGCAATAAACTTATTAAAAAATTTTAATATTAAATTTAAACAATTTATATTAAATTTAAAATGTCAAATTAATAAGCTTATTTATTAAAATTTTCTACAAGTTTTACATATATTTTATTTTAAAAATTTAAATTAAAAATAAAAACTAAAAATATTAAATTCAAACCATTTAAATTAAATTTAAACAGTTGAGATTTATCTGTGTGGTGGGGAGGCGAAAATGCTTCTCTCATTAGATAAATTGTTGCATAATCTCCACCACACAGAAAAGCAGAAGGAGCATCATTGTTGAGGCACACGACATAACTTGCAGAGTCAACGAGTACGTGAGAGGAGTGGCTGGCGACCCAAGCGGAAGTTGCCCTGACGTCGTCCATGGAATGGAGTATTGAAATCGACGAGCAGTGACAATGTGCCGGAGGAGAAGTGTCTGGATTAAACCCTAAAAGGCTAAAACATTTAGGAGGGAGCGGCGGGAAGGGAAGTGGAGTAATGTAAGGGGGTCATAAGGAGGTGGAAGTTTCGCGAGGTTTGTGGCGGCCAATGAGAGGGAGCGTGCTTTTCATGTTGGTCTTAGTGGCACACTCTGACTCTGATTTAGGGTTGTGCAAAAGTCTCATGGTTTCGTTCGGTCCAGTCCGACCCATGAAAATCTGATTCTGTCCAGTCCTGTAAAATGCTGGTCCTATAGGACCAAAAATACCAAAAAGATAGGACTAATTTTTTAGGAAGACCAGATTAGAGACCAAGCATCTAGACTAAGTGGTCCGGTTTGGTCCTATATAATTATTTTAATATAATTAAAATTAATTTATAAATTATTAATTAATAAGTCTTAGAAAAAAAAGTCTTAATCCTGCCTTGCACTTTGCACTCTAATTGAAAAAAAAACCTCAACACTATTACTCAACAGCACTTAGCATCTCAGCCACTCACTTAACTTTACTCTCATTCTCAATTTCTTCAGTGTGCCAAAGCCCTAGCCCCTGCCTTGCACTTTGCACTCTGATCTTGATCTATTCAAACTTTGAAGGAACATGTTTGTGCGCTGATTTTTATTACTTCTGTTCTTGCTGATTTTTTTCCTCTAGTCTATTTTCGGTCTTTCCTCTGATTTTTTTATTGAAGTTATGTATTTAAATTATTTGGAGTTTGGACTGTAACTAAAATATTATTTTCTTGGTGTTAAAAATTATTATGGATTTATTATGATTATAAGTATTTTTATTATCTTAATTAAATTTGTTAAGTTGAAACAGATTATTGGTCATCATAGAGAAAAAAAAAGAAAAAAAAAGGCCAAGTGAGTATTGGACTAACAGGATCAGTCTTCCAGTCCTATGGACCAAGTCCAGTTTTATTAATTTCGAGTTTTCATGGGACCGGACTGAACTACGGGTTACCTAATCCAGTCCTTTTCATGAAAAGGATCAAACTCCAGGTTAAGTTAAAGTCCAGTTCCGTTCAGTCTTTTGTGTAGTCCTATTCTAATTCTTGAATCAGAACATCTTTTAGAGGAACTTCTGATTTACCAAAAGGAGGAGCTCGTGCGAAAGCAAAGGACAATGTGAAGGGGCCACCAATGTCGCCAAGCCTGCCTTTTACATTTACACTAAATAAAGACAGATATATTCTAAATAAAGTAATAAATTTATTAAAAAATTTTAATATTAAATTTAAACTATTTATATTAAATTTAAAATGTTAAATTAATAGGCTTATTTATTAAAATTTTATACAAATTTTACATATATTTTATTTTAAAAATTTAAATTAAAAATAAAAACTAAAAATATTAAATTCAAACCATTTAAATTAAATTTGAACGGTTGAAATTTATCTGTGCGGTGGAGAGGGGAAACGCTCCATGAGATTGTGCAACTTCTGTGTAAAATATCTTGGCGCGAGAGAAAAGGGCGAAATTTCTCCTTCCGCCTATATCTATGCCACGCAATCGACCGAGCGAGCGACGGGGCTCTTGTTTAGTCAAGAACAATGCAGAGATCTGGTTATGGCCGTGATGGAATTTACAGGTCTCTCAGGCCCCCTCTCGTGATTCCCAGGGACGAGAACCTCTCTCTCGTTTCATTTCTCTTCAGAAATGTCGCCTCTTTCCCCACCAAACCAGCCTTGATTGACGCCGATTCCTCTCAAACTCTGTCTTTCGGTCAGTTGAAGTCCTTGGTGGTGAAAGTCTCCCACGCCTTTCTCCACCTTGGCATCAAGAAAAACGACGTCGTCCTCTTGTTTGCGCCCAACACCATCCTCTACCCCGTCTGCTTCCTCGGCATCGCGGCCATTGGCGCCATAGCCTCCACCGCCAACCCTACCTACACGGTCGCGGAGGTTTCCAAGCAGGTGAAAGATTCCAATCCCAAGCTCCTGATCACCGTCCCTGAATTGTGGGACAAAGTGAAGGGTTTCAATCTCCCCTCGGTGATTTTGGGTTCACAGACCCCTTCCCTCGTCGCGTCGAATTCCAAGATTACGACCTTCGATGGATTGCTCGAGTTTGCCGGTTCTCCCACGGAATTTCCGGCCAGTAATGTCAAACAGAGCGATACGGCGGTGCTTCTCTATTCTTCGGGTACTACGGGTGTCAGTAAGGGGGTGATTCTCACGCATAAGAATTTCATAGCCGCTTCTCTTATGGTGGGCATGGATGACGAGTTGGCTAACGAGAGACACGATGTCTTTCTTTGCGTTCTCCCGATGTTTCATATTTTTGGGCTCTCAATCATTACGTACTCGCAGCTTCGGAGAGGCAACGCGGTCGTGTCTATGAAGAAATTTGACTTCGAAATGATGTTGAGGGCGGTTGAAAAGTATAGCGTGACTCGTTTATGGGTTGTGCCTCCAATCATCCTTGCTCTGGCAAAGCAGAGCGTGGTGAAGAAGTATAATCTTTCGTCATTGAAGCAAATTGGTTCCGGAGCTGCTCCTCTGGGAAAAGAATTGATGGAAGAGTGTGCTAAAAAATTCCCTCAGACTTTGGTCATGCAGGTGACTTCTATGTTGGGTTGAGCTTAATTCGAACAGGAAATTTTGATATCATAAACTCGATATCTTTTGTGGACTACATTTATAAAACAGACTGTTCATATCCAAAGGTGATGGATGTGAGATGAATTTTCTTTTATCCTCGTCAAATCTTTGGACTTGCTGTTCTTAAGTGAAAGCCTCTTGAATTTTTGATCTTTTTTTTTTCTTTTTTGTCTAACTCTTGAATTTTAAACTTGAAAAAAAAAAAAAAACTCAGCTATGTTTTGATTGAGTAATTAGAAGGAATACTTGTGGACGCTTGATGAAAAAGTTCATTGATATATTACCTGAAACTCACTAAAATTGACAACATTCCGCGAATGCATCGTTAAAACGAACTGGTAACGTTAATATAGAAAGTGAGGTCTTTTAGCCAGTTGTAGCTCAAGGTGGGCGGCGATTGATGAAATTCTCTGCGTGGTGTGTTTTATTATTTTATCTGGGACTTATTCTTGCGCTTTCAGGGCTATGGTATGACAGAAACTTGCGGCATTGTTTCCGTGGAGAATTCAACAATGGGTATTCGTCATAGTGGTTCAGCAGGAATGCTTGTTTCAGGAGTTGAGGCTCAAATAATCAGTGTGGATACGTTGAAGCCCCTCCCTCCTCGTCAGTTGGGTGAGATATGGGTACGGGGTCCTAATATGATGCAAGGTAGAGTTAGTTAACCCTTAGCTGACTGAAACTGTCACAGTGGGATTGATCAATGTCACCATATTTCACTGAACTTGAATCTTAAACCGTAGCATTGAGAATTCTTAAGCTGGACAGGTTTGTCACTGCTGTTATAACAATCATGGTCCAACTATGCTATATCTGGTCAGTTAGCACTGCTTATGACTGACACGGGCTAAATCCATTTTATTCAATTCTACATTGGTGTTCTCTCCCTTTGCTAGAAATAAAGGAATATTACAGTTCCTAGTCCCAGGTCATTGAGCATGTTGGTATTTTGGAACTAAGAAAAAGAGGTCTGGATTCTGAAATATGATTAACTTGTTTAGTAACATATTTCTACCATACTATCAAGTTGCACAAATGTTTGCTGTCTACTGGATGGAGAGTTTTTCTGTAAACTATGCGCTAACAGTTTCCATTTTGATGGTTTTTGCAGATTCTTTAACTATTTTCTTTTGTTCATCAATTTTTAAGTAGTTGATTTGCTCAACACTTTGTCAAGATTTAAAAGTTGTGAACGTGCTTCGCTTTTCTTCAAAAGCAGTTTGGCAATATTTTTATATTTGGTAGTTGATGTTGTGAAATTTAATACCAGTGTCACAAAAAAAATTTTCAGGTTATCACAACAATCCACAGGCCACCAGATTAACTATAGATAAAATGAGATGGGTGCATACGGGAGATCTTGGATATTTTGATGAGGAAGGGCAACTTTATGTTGTTGACCGTATCAAAGAACTCATCAAGTATAAAGGTTTTCAGGTTCGTAACCCAACTGCCATGTATACAACTTAGAATACTATACCTTGAATGCCATACGTACGTAAATACCTGGCACATATCTGAAACCTCCTCTAAGATGGAAGTCTTTAGGTTCAGTTTAGTATTTGAGTTCATAAAGTTAAGGTCTGTTTGGTTTCTATTCTCATTTTTCGTTTTTAAAAACTGTTTTGCAATACAGTTTTCAAAATTGTTTTTCAAAACCAAAAAAAAAAATCTGTTTGGTCTTGTTAATTTAAAAACAATTTCAAAATTAACAAATTGGTCAATAGTGATGGTTATCAACAATTAATAGTGGTGATTTAGGATAATTATCGGTCAAGGTAACTGTAGTTTGATTTAATATGTTTATATTTTTTTTAGTTTTTAAAAACAGAAAATGAGAACAATTTTGGAAACAATTAGATTCACAATACTCCTCCAAACAAGTTTTTTTAATTTTTTTGTTTTAAAAAGATATTTTTGAAAACAAAAACCAAATAGGCTCTTAATTTTCTGTTTTGGCTCTTTAAAAACTGGTTTGAGCACTCTAATTGCGTATAGTCAACTGTTAAATTGGGGATCATGATAATGTGCATTCAATTTTGTTGGGCCCATCATTTAGCCCCTGGACTTTTTATTTTTTATTTTTAAAATATGGTCACTTTTGTTATATGATAATTAGATGTCAATGATTTTAGTTTGTTAGTACATTAGCTGTTAGTGAGCTGTGTGTCATGGGGCCATTATTCTTTCTCCAAAAGGTTAACCTGTCGGGGTGCACAGCATACCTCCCTCCCCTTCCATTCAAGGGGACTACACCATTCTATACACGGGTGATCAAAGTATCATTACCTTTTGTCCCACAAAATTAACCCAGTGGGATATGCATCACACTCACTTATAAAGCTAGGACTTTTTTCAAATCCCTCTAATGTTGGACATAATAGCTCTCCCAGCCAATCCATGATGCCCCTATCATTGGTGGTCTACTAGAGGGGCCCAATGATTGGGCAAACTTGAGTCTGGCTCTGATACCACGTTGTCATTGGGCTATTGCTCTTTCCCCTAAAGGTTAACCCATCGGAGTGGGTAGCATACGTCTCTCTCCTTCCATCCAAGGGGATCACGCAATTTCATCCATGGGTGGTAAAAGTATCATTACCTTCTCTTCTACAAGGTTAACCTGCTTATATATCCAAAGCCCTCCTAAATGTGGGATGTAACATGTGGCTATATAAGGGATGGGTGAGGGTGTTAGAGGGTGTCTTGCCAGTTAATCAACGGAGAGTCCATTCTCTCGTCTTTCTTTTTGGGTTTTCTTTCTCTTCTCTACTTCCTTTCCTATAAGCTTTCTTGAGGAATTATGTGTTAATCCGACTTGCTGTTATAACCAGGTTGCACCAGCAGAACTTGAAGGACTTCTTGTTTCTCACCCTGAGATAATGGATGCTGTTGTCATCCCGTAAGTACCACATAGAGGATTTATGATTTAGTTCTACCTGCTTCACTTGGCGATAAGAATTAATAATAAATGCGCACTTTTTGTGTTATCTTTCGTTGGCACTCATAGTTGAGTGGGTTACTTCCTTTCTGCAGGTATCCTGATGCTGAGGCCGGTGAGGTCCCTGTTGCCTATGTTGTTCGTTCGCCCAATAGTTCACTGACTGAAGAAGACGTTCAGGAGTTTATTGCTGATCAGGTGAGAGGAATCTGAAGAATGAGCCTTGTCACTATTCAGCACTCGTAAAATTAAGATACCTTAACTACGTCACATTGATGGAAATTCATGGAACCGAGAATTTTAGTTTGGAGATTTAAAGAAATGCTTGCGTTATGAAGAAAATTGATGATTATATCTTCCAATCATTTATGGTTCTTTTGTGTGTAAGCTTTTTCTCTCCACTAATGTTGAAGTCATGCATGAGCATGAACTCAACCAAATTTACGTGGAACTGGAACCGGTCTCTGACAGATTCTTTGGTCAATGAAGGAAAATATGGGCTAGGACTTTAGGAGTAGTTTTTATATGCATAAAATTGTAATGCCTCTGCGCAGAATGTTTACTGTATGTCATTTTCACCTTCTGTGGTCAGTTGATCAATTTAGAAACTATTGGCTTGGTGTGCATCGTTGAGTTGACATTAATTCTTCTTTCGGTTTGCAGGTTGCGCCTTACAAAAGACTGCGAAGGGTGACGTTCATCAACGCCGTTCCGAAGACAGCTTCTGGAAAAATTCTCAGAAGAGAGCTTATTCAGAAAGCACGATCCAAAATATGAGAATAAATGGACGATGGACCAAAGAAGGCCCCTCCTCCTCAACATAGTGTGGTTAATGACTATGCCATTAAAAGTCAAATTCAAAATATGTTTAAAGGTTAGCTAAATAGTAGCGTTGTGTATTACTACTTGGTACTAATAAGTATGATGTTATAGTAAACTATCACGTTCTCCTTTCATTTGTGGGATGGAAAAAGGATGCAAATACGTTGGTGGGCAGCAAAGCAGTATCTCTGGCTTTCTTCTCTTAAGTTGGGGGACCACATAACGCTTCTCCTTGGAAAATTGAACCGAAGGGATGGGAGAATTGGCGTCGTATTTCTCTCAATTTTGCTTCGTTACGTTTCATCTTTCTATTTTTTTTATTTAATATCAAATTAATTACCCTGCCACTGCCAACTCGTTGTTTAAAAAGAAAGACACAGCGATGGACAATTTAAGACACAGTGAGTTGTGTTAAAAATGATTTTTACGAAATAAATAAAAAAATAAAACTGGCAACATTATTTAAAATAATGTGCAATAATTTTATACTTTGTTATTTTCACTTGTTAAATTTCAGTGTATACCCGCATCAACTATTTTAGCGGCGCAAGAAGGGCATACTTTTCATATATTCAGCCCTTTCACAGTTAAATTCACAGATCACTTAGATCATTCAAAAAATTGACGTTAAATCTCACAAAGAAAGAAAGAATAATACAGGCTTGGTTTTTGACTTTCGGTCTCATCCAACTCAATTGGTGCAGCACATTTTGACACACTCCTTTCTTGAGTAAAATTATCAACATTTTAGATATTTATGATTTTCTTAAAAAATACTCTAAAATAAGAATGTACTTGGTAATGTTAGTTGGCGATCTATAAGTATATCTATAAATGCTCGTAGAGTCTTGAAACATGTCATTATCTTAATAAGTCCTTGAGATTCAATTCACATGAATTTTTTGTCATGAAAAAGAAAGTTCTTTTTTAATAGAGATAATTTATTAAATAAGAATAAACATGATTAAAATGCATGATTCTAACTGTCATTAACTAACTTATTAAAATTCAAATTAGTTAAAAATATATTATAATTCAGAATAGATAGAGTAGTGAAATAATTAACGATATGCAATTAATTCACTATTTTAAAAAATAAAGTTAGAAATAAACATAGGAAAAGTATCATCAACAAATAGTGGTGGTCGACGTAAATAGAAATAAATACATTGTTTTCAACAGTTACTGACCATAAAAATATTCATTCAGGCCTGAATTAGTGTAAAATTTTCAATGATTACTAAAAATAACGATCATGACTTAGTTTTAATATTCATGAACGAATAGCTTTCAATGATGATTGACGAACAATATCAATAATAAAATGTAATCTAAATATGCTAAACATTATTGTTTTCCTCGCTAAAGATGAAGAAACAAAAAAAAAAAAAAGGCAGGAGAAAGCGATCTGGAAGATTTCATGCTCATCAGCTCATGCTCATAAGGGTGTGCAGGACATTCCAAATATTATTGATTTGAAAATGTCATTGATAAAAAAAATTATAATCTCTCTGGTCCTTTTATAGGGTACATTTTAGAGTAATTTTTTGATCCTTAATGTAAGATACTTGATGAAGTATTATTACATTTTTTAATATTATTCTTATTTAAGCTCATTAATTATAAGAAATAATGAAAAGAAGATTTTAAAAAAATTCATTTAAATACGGTAAAATTAAAAATTTACTTTATTTTTAAATAAATTTAATAATTTAAACACCTCTTCTTGATTTCGAAAAGGTAGTTCAAAGTGCTTTATGTAATAGAAATAGGTAGATCAAACATATATTTTTATAAATATCTTTTGAATTTTGAGACTTATTTAACATTTTTAAAGGCCCAACACGCACAAATTCTTTTTTGTATATAATTAGTAAAAGAAAAATTAACTTACAAGTCTTTATAATTTGTCTCAATTTTAAATTAGATCTTTGTAAGTTATTTTATTTTAATTAAACCTTTATAATTTGATTTATTAGACATGTTAACTTGGAAAGGTTAAGGGTGTGTTTGTGTAACTTTTAAAAGTACATTCAAATTACTTTTGTAATGTATTTTTGCTAAATTTAATAAATAATTGAATTCTTTAAATGGAGTTTTGTCAAATATAAACTGAAAATCAAATAAACACTAAAATTAATAAGCAATTATTAATTTTTCAAACCAAAATACTTTGGAGTTTGTAGGAAAATTAATTTAATATTTTTAGCCAAAATAAAAAAATAATTTAGTGCAGTGTTTTTTATTAATTTTTTTATAAAAATTTTATATGTGTAAAAGATAATTAAAAGAGAATTTAATTGTATAAATTTTGAGTTATAAAAATTATGTAATTTATTCTAAAGTTATATAATCATTTAATAAAAATATAAAAGTTCTTAATTTTATTTTTTAAAATAATTAAAGGATATTAATTTTAAGAAAATAAAAATTTCATTAAAAAAAACTATAATGACTTGTAAATATATTTTTATAATAATAAACTATATTTGAAAGTATCAGTACCTATGTTTTTGGGAGCGAATGTAATTCAAATTTTTACTAGTGCGAGGGAATCAAAAATTCAGTATCCAATATACACCACAAGGCCCAAAAGGGGGGGGAAGGACACAAAGGAAAGGCCGATAACCTTATCCATTTCACAACTCAACTAGTCAACTGGATTGCTATTAGTTCCTGTTGATCTCAGTGGATTGATTAACATTATTTTCATAAATACATCTTAGGAATGAATCAAATGATTATTGAGAAAATTTGAAACAATACGCACATGCCGGGTCTAATTCGACTCAATTAAGATTTAGGGTAAGAGTATGAATTAAATTTTGAATTATTTTTTAAGAAGAATCTGTTAAAGTAATGCAAAATAAATTATTAATTAAATAGAGCACCCAACGTCTCATTAATTTTGAAAAGACGGACATTAGTTTACCAATCTTTTGACTGAAGCCCTGGCTACATGGCCATACATGTGGTGCATTTTAGTCCACTTGGTGTCCATGTGGCTGAGGCGGAAGATGAATGGGCAAGCAAGTGTTCACTTCACGTGAAAACCCTAACCTCAATTTTTCAACAATCTGCTTCCATTTTCTTCTACATCACACATCTTTTTTGACCGTGCCTCCATTCTTCTCTGTCTTGGACTTCGTGCATCTTTTCCACAGAGCCTAGCTTGAATTTGTGCTCGTAAACCAGGTGCGTCCTTTCTATTTTCTTTCTCCATTCTGCTCCAATTAATTTCTTCGTTCTGCACTTGTGTTGCTCTGCTTCTTCGATTTTTTTTCATTTTGCACTTATTCTTTGTTTATTTATTTATTTTTTTTTCTTTGTTGTGTTCTGGTTCTGCATAATTTTAATGTTTCTCCAATGACAACATCTTTTGTGTTTGTTGGTGTTGGGAAGAGAGGGACAATTAGAGAATCAGACAACTGTGCATAATTTTTTTTTTCCATTGGGTAGTTCGAATTTATGTGCTAGATTTTTTTCACAATAAGAATGTATTATTAGGAGCGTGAGTCAAGCTAGAGGCAAGTTGAATATGGTTGAGATACAGTGCTTCTCAATGACCGCTACTGAACCTCTTCTTCAACAGCATGATAATGAGATTGAGGTATTTTGAGGTGTAATTTCAAGATCGCCATTGAGGTATCTCAATGATTGTGAAGACAATGAGCGCCATTGAAGAGGTCTTCAAGATCGTCAAAGCTCAAACCATGATAGCCATTTGTAGCACTGTGCCGAGCTACCGGGTCACAATGGCTCTGATTGATAGGATCGGAAGATTCAAATAATCGACTTCACCTTTATGACAGTGTTCATGTTTGCACTGGCCATTCCTTGAAATCAAAGGACCGTGAAGGGAAATTAGATAGGGTTCATGGTGATGTGCTCACTCACCTTCTTCTTTTGCAGCTTTGGTTGATGTTCATATTTTTGGTGCGGGGGACGAAAGGGAAATTGATGGAGGGCCGGTGAAGGTGGTAGGCGGGGATTAATTTCTGGATATATTTCTTCTTCACAGGGGAAGAATTTACTCATATCTACCTGTTCAACAATCAAATTAAATGAATCTATAGCCACCTGTACCTTTCGGGCCGGGTACTGCCATGACAATAAACGTTCATTGGCTTAAAATTTCTGGGAGGTGCTGGGTGCTACGAAAAAATAAGTTATAATTTATTTTGCACAATTTTATAGTATATGATATTAAATGTTTTTTAAAAAATAATTTACAGTTAAATTTATACTTTTATCTTAAAATTTAAGATGAGTAAAGGTCAACAATAACTTTGGAAATTTAGTTAATATCACAAACACGGCATTTTGATTGCAATTTTCTTAAGGCCTGTGCAAAGAACTCGAGAACTTGATCTACCCGGTCCTGCCCGGAGACATTGGACCAAGATTCAACCCGGTCCTCTCCATTTCACTTGTGCATGCGTCGAACTTAGTTTGCTCTATTACTCTCTTATCTGTCATTTTCTCCATCCCCCCTACTTCACATCTCTCTCTCTCTTTTTTATTTTGTTTATTACTGTGCGAAGAAAGGTTAATGCTGCATAAAAATGATATCTATTTTTTATACAATCAGTATGTTTTGGTGGAGGGGTGGGGCAAAGGTGGTTCCTTTTGCTTAAAAATATTTTTTTATGATCATTCATTTGACTATTAGAGTAATAGCCTGACTTGATCTACAACTTTTGTTTCAATTTTTGTAGTGCTTAATATATTGATAACAGTGGGGACCATAGGGTTTGGGCTTCTCTTTGATGGCTAATAAACTATAAAAAAATTAAATAAAGTATATAAGAAATGGCTACAAGACTCCACTTCAATTATGAGCTCATGTGATATGCTACATTTTATTATTTTTGGATATTAGGCTTTGTTGTTTTTGGAAATTGGTTTGATTTTACTATGATCAAACAGGTTCTAGTCTTGAGATAAGGAAGTTTTGTAACCCAAGCTTCATCTTGTGACCAAACCTGGTCTTGTCTTACTCTCAAGTTAGTTTGGGTAAGATCGATTCTTGGGCCAAAAATTAGTAACCCAGCCTCATCAAGATTGGGCATTGGGTTGATTACAAACCTGGTCTTTGAATACCCTTTTTCTTTACTTGCCTAAATTATTTAAATAGTTGAAATTTGATTTTGATAATTTTTATTTTTTACTTCTATAAAAATATTAAAAATATTATCTAACTAAAATGTTTAATAAATTAAATTTGAATCATGCAAATATTAGCCCTTAATTTCTTTTTATTTGGATCTTTTGATGTTTTATTTCTATACGAACTATCTGCGGTTAGTTTTATAATCAACAATTCTTGTTTTTTTTTTGTTTGAAACTTTACAATTAATTCCCCTAAACTCTTGTATTCATACAAATAGATCCCCTACTATTAGTTTTGTTGATTATTTATCTATATATGACTTAAAATTTAGGTGAGTTATCTGCATATAACTTCAAATTTAAAAGGATTGTATGTACAAAAAAAGTAAAGTTTAACAGGTGTGTGTGTATAATTAATAGTTGGGAATCATCCCCACAAATATTTGAAAGCGTATTAAATTTTAAAGTTTTTCATTAAAAAAAATTAAATTTTAATTTTTATAAGTTACTTTTAAGTTTTAACTAACTTATCAAAACCAATGTGAATTAGTTAGAATGATAAATTTGTCTTGAAAATAAATTACTTTTCAATTTTGTTCCTACTTCAAAAAAAAAAGTTATTTGATGTATGGGAAGAGGTTTTTTTTTAAAAAAATTAAAATGTTACATTTTTTTTTTAAAAAATTTTTACTAGAAGGTAGTTTTAGAATTGTATATAAAATATTATTACAAAAGGAGAAAAAATGACTTGTATAAAAGATAAAGAAAATCTTTTTATAAAAAGGACAGAAGAAGTATATTAAAACTGAATCTTGGCTAGTAAGAAATAAATACATAGTCCTGCAGCTCCAGCTCCTTTAATTTAGAACCCACTGAAATTAATTGACATTATACACACTACGAGAGAGACAGCTCGGGCAACAAATCGTGCAAGGATTTACTTTGTTAGCTGCTGTTTTTTGAATTTGAATTATCGATCATAAGCAGATCATTAACAATTAACTCGCAAGCCTTCTTGAATACCCTTCCCTTTCTCCTTTCTTCTTGAGAGTGTACTGTTGTGCTGGACTTTTATGTGCTTTCTGGAACTACCTTCATTTTCAAGCTGCATGCAAATGAAGTGGAAACTAGAGTGAGCATGCTATTTCGACCAAAACACTGAAACCCATCCTTCAACTCTGATCCATTAATGCAAGTATTATCCCTTTGAATTATAACAAATAATATTGATAAATAATCCTCTTCAAAAATCATAGAATAATTCTAATAGTGAAAAGTGACGTAAACAGCTAGATCAACTCTATTGACAAAGTGGAAAAATAAATTTAAATATTAAACATCTGTGAAAGTGGGGAAAAAAAAACTGCTAGCTAGGAGAAAATATGCAAGATAGTACCAAAAAAAAAAAATTCAACAACAACTTTTAACAACAACTCTAAAAAATTACCACTAAAAGTGAACAATCAGTGATGACTTTAAAAGTCATTACAAAAAGTTTGATTTTCTATGACGATAGTTGAAGTTGCCATTGAAAATGTAATTTTCTACGACAAGTGGATGAGTTATCGAAAGTCAAAGTTTTAACAACGACTTATGAGTTCACAATCAGCAATGAATTTGACTTTTATAACAATTAATAGTTACTAAATATTATCATCATATTTTTTTTATTTTTTTTTGTTTAATACAATGCATAACATTTTAAGATATTAATTTCGTTGTATTACTATAATTTTATGATGAATATATAAAAATAATATAATTAGTTTTCATTTAATATATTTTATGGTTAAATTAATATTTTAAAATAATAAAATTATTTTAAGATAAGGTTAATGTATTATTTAATATTAATAAGCTGGATTAAATAATCAAGCCAAACTATATTATTTTAAGTCAACTTTTATTATCAAGTAATGTTCAGTTTGACTTAATCCAACTATTTAGGCTAATTTGATTAATTAATTTTAATCAATTAAAATTGAATCTAATTAAATTGACTAATGCACACCTTTATGTAAAGTAATAAATTCATTCACAAATATATTGTTTGATATTTTAATTTAAAATGCATATAATGTAAGAATGAATCTCTATTTTCAAATGTTTATGATTGAATTGATATTTTAAGCAATACTTACTTGTTTATAGTAATTAGACATGTGATAATTAATTTATTCAGCCATAGAATGATATTTCAATCAATCTAATTTTTTAATTCAAATTTTACATTTAATATCGATAACTTTAAAGTTTGATGTTGGTTTAGAGGTTCCTAATTTATTGGCTAATAATAGGGAAGAGGAAGACGAATAGAAAATAAACAATAGATTCTAAAATTTTACTTTTAATTTTTAGAATATATGAAATATAGTCATGTATGTGATGCTATATGATTTGTCTGTTTGATGCTATTTTGAGACATAAATATAAAAAAAATTAGATACTATAGTGTATAATTTTCTTATTAAATTATCATTTAAAATTAAAAAATAATTAAAAAAAGTAAAATATAATGTAAAAGCAAGTCAATTACATTACTTAAGACTTATTGTTAATTAAAAGTAAAAATAAACTTTTGATTAAAACAAGCCAAAAAAATAAATAATTATGATCTAATGTATGGTCAGAGTATTTTTATTATTTATTCTTAAATATTTTTATATTATACTTATAAATATGAATATTAAAATAAATAATAAAATAACCTCAAGAATTATAGAAAAATTTAAATAAATAATATAAATGATATTGTATCAATTACATTTATAATTTATTTAAGACAAAATAAAAAATATAAGTCAAAATTCTAATAAATAAAAAAAATTAAATTGAAGTATTTAATGATAGTAACAATATTTTATAATATTTAATATTTAATATATATGTCTATTTGTTTAGTTAATAATATATATTTAATTACACAATAATATATTATAAGTTCATTCTAGCTTTACGATAAAATAGTGAGACACAACAATGTATATTAGCATTACTTTTCAGCGATGATAAATTCTGGCAATTGTATATTTTCAACAGTAAGTTGTAAATAGAATAAATGACAAAAGCTCTCACAACGATATTATGGCAATTTTTTTGCCATTGAAATATGCAGGTGCTGGAGTACCTCAAAGCCATTAACAATTACTAGATTTTGGAGTAAAATAATAGTTGAATGCCTAGTTTATCTAATCCCCACGTCCTCTCTTATATGCAAAACTATCTCAATCCCAGGAGAGAATAATCTTACACGAAATCATTTACCAAATGAGCAACTACTGAATCTTTCAATAACAATCTCCTTTTATATTCCATTCCAGAGGGAGAGTTGAGTAGAAATTAAAGTGTTTGGATTAAAACTGAAATGTCATTTACAATGACTATAACAAAAAATAGGTTGAATAATTGAAAAGTGAGGCCTAATAAGCAATCTAACAACAAGACAGTCCAGATCATAATGGAATAAGTTGACTAAGTAAGCATGAGTCTTTAAATCCTTTAAGATTTAGTATCTTTAGCTAGATCATTATCTCACAACAGACCGTGTTCTCCACAAGTCTTAAATTTTGTAAAGTCATGGCCATTATTCATAAATATCTTGAGGATATGGGCTCATAGTTAATAATGGAACGCATTGCGAATAGGAAGATTGTGTCATAAATCTCACCCAATGTGCATATTGAATTTCTAATATTGCGTAAACGAGTTCCAAATCCTTTAGGAACAGTTGCATCAGCTAAGGCATTATAAAAGAAGGAGAAGGTTACAAATTAGAAAAGGGGCTGAACAACAATCAATCACTGACACCCATTATACTTTTAGCTTTGTACTTTGTATTTTCAAATAGTTTTTAGCATCATTTTAGCTTTGTTACTTTTACGATCTTGTATCTTGCACTTTCAATAAATCAAATGCTTGTTATTTCAATTTTTTTGCATCTTTTATATTTAGGTAGACTGTGATAAAGGAGTTTGAAGATCATTTATTATCATTCGAGATTCAACGTTTTTAACACGCCTAGT